AGAGGGGCTGCTGTATAATGTAACTGCTCTTTGAAGACATGCAAGCGTTGCAGCATTTCCTCAAGACGTTCTGAGGTTTACAGTAATAGCACAGCCTGTGCCTGTCTCACAGGTGTCCCCTTCTGAGAGGGGCACCAACCCTCCCTCATGCCAGGGAGGCTGGCAGGCCCAAGACCTGAGAAGAACTGCATGTTCCACCCGCTCTAGGCTCACGTACTAAAAATGCTGCATTAAGATCCAAAGAAACTAGTTTTAGTCATAATAGCAAAGGGATCCAATTAACTCCAGCAGGGTCACGCAGCAAGTCAGAGCATCCTCTAAAAGAAAAGCTCTGGAGGGAAGCCAAGCAGCTCCTAGGAATAACCAGGCTTGAAGGGAAGGTTAGCTTAAAGATTACACTAACAAGTCAGGATGCTGCAAATAACTAGTTCAAGATCTCAGAGGACAGAGGGAGGAAGTGGCCCATTCATATCCTCATGTGAAGATGGCCGTTGTTCTTCCTCTTGCCACGTTTAAGGTGGGAGAGAAGCCACGCACAGATGTCCTCCTGCTGGAATTCATCTACTCCAACATTAGCACGCAACAGAGCAAACTGCTTCTAAAAGCAAAGGCCTGACTTCGGTTCACGTAGACTGACCATTAAGTGACGTGAAAGGTGTGTTGTAGACTAGGGGAGGAAAGCGTTCATGACGAACAGACTAGAATTTATCTCACATTCTTTGTTCATAGCAAGTATTTGTCTCTGGGTCAGAGCTTTATTGAAGAGCTTCTTCCTGCCAGATCTTACACCGAGGTCCAAATCCTTGTGGACCAAACTCAGCCCAGGGGTCAGTAAGCACCACACCTCCAGAACTCAGTGGGAGCGGTGCCTGCTTGCTTCAAAGGCAAGTATCTTACCCTATGTTTATACCAGCCTGCAAGGCATGAAAAGGCCTAGGAGGTCACACATCCACCACTGTAATTTCAGGCAGGATCAAACAAAAAAAAAGCAACAGCTGGGCTGAGTGAACAAGTCCATGTTTAATTACAAATGGTTTTAGTAATAAGCAAACACAAGAACAAAGCTAGTGGAAAACCTCCCTTTTTCTTCCTGGCTCTTATTCAGGTCGTGTACAAACAGAGCTGCCTAGGGGAGAATCTCCAATAAAATCTGTCAACTACCTTTTCTTTCATCTTATACATTTTCAAGATGGCTACAGAACAACTGTTCCTTATGCAATGCCACTTGCTTGAACAAGCAGCAAGGATGGATGGTCAGATCACACCCGCTGATGCAGAAGGGCACAGACCTTTGGAGATCTTTCCCAGCCTCTAGCTCAGCCTCCTCTGTGCCTGTGAGCACAGGTACACATTTATTTTGCAGTTACTTGTTTAAAGGCCTTCATTTGCTTTCTTTTAGTATCCTCTGAACGTGAAATGGCCTTTCAAAATAGGATTACAAGTGAGCTGGGTCCTTCTCCTCCTCCTCTGCACAGGAGGTTTCCAAGGTGCTCCTGCCTGGCCCATGGAGGAAGTGAGAAGCAGCAATGAGAGCATCCGAGACACCCACAGAGTTGACCAACTCCTCCACTGGGTCACGTGCTTACAGCCAGGGGCTACTCTTCCTTGCTCCAAAAGGCCCAGGTATGGTGGCAGGCATAGGAAACAGGTCCTAAAGCAAACACCTGTCCAGACAGGCAAAAAAGCCTAGTGGGGAAATGGTTTTTTGTTGTTTTTTGAATGCTGAGAGCCTTTCTGCTGCAAAATATTGGTGGAAATTAGAAGCAATCAATGGATCCCCTCACCACATTTAGCTAATACCTCTGAGAGCATTGGCGACAGACCGATACAGCCACACAGCACCACCGAAACACAGCTGGAACAAAGTACCAACCCAACCCCCCAGCAACTCAATACCAAATGATGACAGACCACTGTCCAGCTGCCTACAATTACAGCTCCAAAACCTGGGTGTCATGGGGGGACACGATGGGAGTAATGAAAAGGCTGGGAAACCATCACATCCCTGGGAACCAAAGACTTCTGACCTTTCTAGCAAAGGCTGCTGAGAGAGCAGGGTGGGTTGTGCTGTACTTCTGGCTTTAATTACACCCAAGTGTTTAGCTTATTCTCCTCCAACCACCCCCCATGTCCCTTAGAAGCACAAATCTAGCTTTTTATAGTACATCCGGTATGGACGTTAAACACATTCAGGAAATGCACTTTCAGCCCCAAACATCCCTTCTCCTAGGCCAGTTAGCTACATGGTTTATAACATGAAAATGAGGAACCGGATATTTGGTTTCGTGACCACTGCGTTCCTGGATTACTTCTATCTGTTTAGGGAAAGGAAATTAAATAAATACAGGGTATGCTGGCTGCATCCAGAAATAAAGCAAGCTGCTTGCAAGGTGAAGAAAATAAAGTCAGATGGAGAAGGTACTCTTAGCTACTTGAATTCCCTGTACTCAGCTAGACCGCACTTTACAGGGCAAAGCTTTTCACAGTTGACAACTGCTGGGGGCTGACAACAGCTCACTGAACAGCGGGTGTCTGCAGACCCATCTAGCATCCCAAATCATGTATTTTTCGGTGCCTTCTAACAATACCGATCCAGACTGGGCATTTCTTGTAATGCACAAAGGAAAAGAGCACTCTGTCTCCCAAAACTTGTATTTTAAGTAACCAAAGGGCACTAGGCACAGGAACGCCAGCCTACACCAGACATCATCTTTCCCCAGATGCTGCTCTAGCACATCAGCAAGGCTGGTGGATCTTCGCTCCAGACGAGTCCAGTCAAGGCTTGGACAGTGGCTTAGCTTTATATCTAGAACCATGTCTTTGTAATTTTCTTAACATAAGGGACTTGCCTTTGGCTTTACAGAATTTGGCAAGCCTTTAGTAATTTTCTCACCTGAAAACACACTGGCAAACTTCCCCAATGGAAGCACTTTTCTAAGCCCAAAAATAAGCATGTTTGCCGAGGGTCTCGGAGACCAGCCTTGGATACTACTCTAAACTGGAAAATTCCCTGGAGCACTTACAGACCAGAGGACACACTGGTCAGGCTGCCACAGTTAGTTTCCTGCTAAACCCTCAGAAGTGCTGGTCTGTTCCACACGCTGAGCAAAATACTAACGCTACACCTCCGCCATAGTGTCACGGCACAACAGAACCCGGATATTCTGCGGCAGGCGAGTGAAAGGGAAGGCACCCGGGCCTGCGCTGCATCAGGTCTGCTACTCTGAACAAAGGCAAGATGCACAAGCCATGGGGATCTTTATCTTTCTTCTCCCACAGCCAGGCCACTTCATCATATTCTGGGCAAGCAACTGCCAGGGAAGCCTCACACATCAGCAGGCTGAATGAACGCGTAATTGAGCTGCTCCCACCACAATCACACTGGAGAAGTTTTAAAGGAGTTCTTGAACTGATTATTTCCTGTATTTATTTTTATTCCATGTTTTCATATCTGATGTGGGTTCCTCCCTTGAAAACACAGGCACAATAACAGGGGAACACTATTCAGCTTTTCTTTCTGGCCTGCCATCACGGCAGAATTACTGGGCTCCAATTATTTGTCCTGAGCAAGCTGAACTGCAGCACAAGCAGCGATTCATCTTAGCAGTGACTAAGCTGCTGCAGGCCCACTGGCAACACACCTCCTCCTCTGGAGCAGTAAGAGGCAGGAGGAAATAGGGATTTCTCAGCAGCGCAGAAAAGTGAGCAGCCCGTGAGGCTTTCCTAGTGAGTTACGGGGAACCTGCTTAGGCTCTCAGAGCAAGGGGCTGTTGCTGGAGGAATTGAGGCACAGATTTGAAGAAGCTGGAGCATTGGCAGTCTGCATGACAAGGAGCTGTCCTAGCTTCAGCTGCATCTAAACCACGTCTTTAGTCGAGAAGGCCAGTCCACTCAAGAGGAGCTTTTTTTTTTCCAGTGCAAAATGCCGTGAGCCAGACCAAAATTCAAGTTATAACTCCAATTAGCTCTGCAGGGACGAAACTGTTGCGTGGCATCAACAACAGCAACAAGACTATGCTCATCTATGCTTTCGTTTATCTCAGGAAACAGCAGCTGTTAAGAAGAGTCACACATCACATTGCACACTCAGCTTACGCTACCCTGCTCTAACAGCAGGCTAGGCAACACTTAACTGGAAACATGAATGACAATCCAGCTGCAGCAACTGAATAACAGCCTTCTCAGGGAACGGCAGCTTAACTCACACTGAAGAACTGCTCTTTGGCAGATGGGAAAGACGATGTATTTATTTGATGAGTCTTGTTTCTGCATGACCAAGTTATACCCAGCTTATGACTTTCAAATATAAATGCAAATGACTGACTTAAATAAAACTCATTGCTGGAACACAGAAGCATCTCATCTATTCCTGAGAGGAGGTGATCTTCCAAGAACTGCATCAAGAACTGCCTGGATAGGCATGTCAGATGTGCAGAGGACCTGACCTCTTCGCACCTTTGACAATCATTGTGATAATCTCTGAATTAGGTGCTAGAGCTTACACAAAGTGACAAATCCACCCTGACATGACATTTCAGGACACTGAAGAGGCAAAAGCATCTCATGCAAATGCTCTCCTGAAGTTTGCCAGGAGTCACACCCCAGCCACTCGCTGCTTTTTATGGTCCAGGGAAGTACCTTCCAAAGGAATTGCAGGCAATCCCAGGCATGTTCCTTCATTACCTGCAGTCTGATCAGGCTGCTCAAGATGTTCAAAACAGGGTTTGCTTACTAGGACGAATGACTTATGAGAAATGAGAAATTCAAGCCTGATCTTATGAATTGAGTCACTGGGACTCATGGGTTGCTTCCCCCACCCCCACATCCCTCCCTGCAAAACACCACACATTCCAGGCCTCATTTTGCTCCCACTGAAATCCTGCAGACAGCAAATATCCATTAGCTTAAATGCTGAAGAGTAGAGCTTAAATCATCAATTGGAGCACCTTCTTTCTTGCAAACCACCTACACCTGGGCAGAAAAAAAAAAACCATACTCACCCAGAGACTGTTGGGAGGGAAGCTGGAGCTCCTGACTGTATTTTCTCTTGCTGCTTCAGAAAAGATTTAGCTTCTTTTGAGGTTGCATCCACTTCCTTAGTCACTCTGATGGAAGAAAGAAGGGGAAGGGACAAACCAGAGGTTAAGGAAGAACAGTATATTCAACATAGCAAAAACAAAGATCCAGCAAGGAAACCACGGACAATCAGTACAAGAGTTAGTCTACCAGGCCACAACACCTGATTTTTGTGCAGCTTGTAGCTGATGGGGCGAATAACTTGCATCTTGTTAAGATTTCATTCCAATTACAAACTCTCTACACACATGGAAGAAAAAGGAAAAGAGCAGCTAATTAGAGCTGGGGGAGGAAGGGATTTTTTTTCCAAATGAACAGGAACACTTATTCATTCAAACAGGCTCACTAACAGCTACTGAATACTCTGCTTAGGTCACTGGGGGCAATTCTCATCTCTTAATTGGGCTCTTGATTTCCTCATTTGCTGGTCAGTGAGGCAGCTCTTCTGTGACAGCTGTTCTGCCACCCACGTCTCGCAGCCCACAGCGCACAGGGTTGGCAACATCTGCAACCAAAACCAGAATAAGGAATCTGGCTTGGGGGCTCGGGAATGAAAGAGAAAGCTCTGACAATGCTGAAGGCAGAAATTTGCTCTCATTTTCTAGCTGCTTTTTGTGTGAGGCCCAGAGGGCATAAAATATTTAACTAAAAAAAAAAAAGCAATACATCATCTACAGTATTGTAGAATTACAAACATATGAATGAGAATCTCCAGAAAATCATTCAATAATTAATTGTTAAAAAATCCCAGCTACTTTAGCCCCCTCAATTACACTGACCTGCCTCCAGCAACACACTTTTCAGGCTTTCAGCAGCTCTTAATGAGGTTGCCCTGGTTTGCCAAGCTAACAGTTTTGCTCCCTCAGAGGACAAGGCAGGAAGCCTCCCCTGAGCCCTGCAACTCTCTGTCGGCACAGAATAAAGGCCCAAAGGCAACTGCCTGACTCACGGTTTGGACAGCCCAGCCTCAATCCCCGATGCCCGGGCCAGAAAGCACAACTCTCCCTTCCCCACCCTCCTGCAGTCTGGGCCTTTGGCTGCATCTGCTGCCAGGAAGGGTGGACAGGCTCATTCCCAGTCTAGAGCATATGCTGATGAGAGGCTAAAAAGCCTAGTCAGTCACCAGCTCTGCCCTGGTTAAAAGTCAGGCTCATAGCTGCCTGCTTCCCACCCTCCTATCCGCACACGCCAACACAGCTCTTGCTGAGCGAGTCAGGCAAAATTTCCAGCTGGGATAGCGAAAAATGCAGACCCTGCACCTCCAGCGTCTCCCAGGGCAGAGGCTGGCTGCAGAACGCTTGAATTCAGCTGATGGACACGGAGAAACCCAGAGATCCGCGAAACCAGCTGGGTATCCGTTCTGAAAACTAGCAGCAAAGCAAGCACTGTGAAGTTATCTGTTCAGCCCAGAGGCCTTGAGGCCATGAAATCTCACTTGCACAGAACCCATGCAGCACACGTCCCCTGCTGACAGGGAATCAGGGTCCAGAGTGCAGCTGCACTGACTCTGGACTACCCTGACTATCCAGCAAGAAGCTGTTAGGGAAGGGGAACAGTTCTTCCACCTTCTCCCTGAAGGGCAAGTAGAGTGGGAAAGACACGCGCAGAAACTAGAATCAGTGCTCGTGTTGAACGCCTCCTGCTCAGCCCTGTTGTTTCAGGGCAGAAGGGGAGATTAACCCCATTTCCCCCCACCTCTGTTGTCACATGCCTTTCAAACTGGTGGCAGTCATGTCGATTGAGACAAATCCCATGCAATGAATATTTAGAAGCGTTTGCTGGAAAGGGGAGGGAAGGAATGAAAAAGCAGTTCAGGAAAAAAGAAAAGCATTGCTCCAGTAGCATCACAATTTAAGATATCCCAAACGCACAGCCTAGCCACAGCCCTCAATAGCAGTCATGTCAGGCAGTAACCATATACCAATAGTTATTTTTACTTCCATGAATTTCCTTAGACAGAATAAACTCAAATGTCCTTATGCAGCAATTAGCCAGAAATCCCCACTGAGCCCCACTAGCCGTGAGTGTCAGGTTCAGATTAATACAACCGCAGTCTATTTTTAAACGCAGCAGCATGAAGAGCCAGCTCAGTCTCCCTCCCAGCAGCGGAGCAGGATCAGTTCCCATGCATTCTGCACAATGTGAGCTCCTGGCAAGGTCCCCCCTCCTCTGTCACCCCCGCGCACTCCCATGCAACCCAGAGCTCGCCCCCCGCACACAGGAAGCCTGCAAGCAGCCGTGAGAAACATCAGGCAGACCCAGAGCATGCAGGAATTCAAGAGGCATAGCGTAGTAACCACACACCCTGGAAAAAAAAAAAAACCACCCTCTGTCCTGGCCTCCTCTGAAGAGATCCCAGCCCTCAGGATGGCTACGGGACCTCTTCCCGAGTTAAATCCTAGCTGTTAAACCCTCCAAGTTTCTGGAACTTGAACAGGACAGGCTAGAGGACAAAGAGGAAGCAGCAGTTGGGAAAGGAAGCAGAGGTCACAGAAAGCACACGTTGCCATTAACTCCACACGTCTGAACTAAAGGGATGACAGCCTAGCTCCTCAGGGTGCTGGGTGCTCAACTCCCACAAACCAACAGGAATCTGGCACTTAAATAGCTTGTAGGATTTGGACATATATGACCTGAAGCAAACCTTCAAAGCCTGTGGCAGAGCAAAGATCTGCCGATAGGGCCCCCTAGCCCTGGCTTAACACCACGACTACTTTCAGCCTTCTCCAACGCGAGACAAACTGGACTGATTTCCTTCCTAACTGGAGAGGTAAAGGAAAGCATAAAGTTAAGACGCATATGAAAAACAGTTCTAGGAATTTGCCAGCTGCCAGCCTGGTACGGTCAGCATGCTGTTTGCTGGGCCAGCACTACAAGAGTCTCACCTCTCAGAGCAGAAAGAGGTTCAATTCCAGAAAAGGTTGGAGAGGAGAGATTTGCACTTGTGAGCCCCCTTAACATCCCGCTCAGGAAGGTTCTGGCATC